TCTTACATTTATATACGAAAATCCATAACTCCAGTTCCCATGGACCTAGAGAGTTCAAATTCGGTAGGGGTATAGGCGCCATGGTGGCAAAACTTACGGTGGATGGCAGAACCAGACTCCGCCCACAGGGGGCGGGGTTTGTGCGAAATTCATAACTCCTGTCCCCACGGAACTAGAAAGTTCAAACTTGGTAGGAGTACAGGCGACAGGATGGGAACACTCATGGTGGATGGCAGGACCAGACTCCGCCCACAGGGGGCGATATTTGAGCGGAAACTCATAAATCCGATAAAGGTCTATAATGAGAATCAGCTCATGCGGCTCCGTCTCTCATGGTTAGAGCCCCTAGCGCGCGCGACAGCGTGCGTAGCCGCCTGGTATCTGTACAATCTCACAGAACTGCTCGTCATACTGATCTTGTGCTACGCGGATAACCTCGTGTATGGACAATAATACGAATCGACTTACAAATCCACATCGAACTGGATAATTGAACTGTAAACATAATCCGAACAATAACCTGAGTAAAGAGAACAAGTTTAACAAAACGAGAAAGAGATGTTCTTCTACCGATAGTGGCCAATTGCTTGACGTCGAAAATTGGCTGGCTACTAAGTTGCGGACCAAAGTTCATCAATCGATTGCGCGCGATTAGAAGATCCCAAGATATTTGCACCTCCTACGGGAGGATTACTTACTAAAATGAAAATTCAGTCCGGCACTCGGCTCTTACAGTAACCCCCTGGCTTACCCCACCAACCCCTCCCGTGTCCTTGCCCAAAGCCCCTTTTCGACGCGTCGTATATGTGACGGGTAAAAATATGCGAATTTTCGTTCCTGTGGATTACTTCGTATGAGTGATAATTCTGAAGTGACAGTATGGATATTAGCGAATTCAATAAGCTCAATTCAATAAGAATGAAAACGCTCTTCAAACAAGACTATAGTATGGTTGCGTTGGTGACATTTCTCTAGCTTGGAAGCGGCAATCGAACACCAAGCACGGCTCATATTACCGGTCACAAAATAAGTAAACAAACAAGTAATTGTAACTGAAGCTCACTGGAATGGCAAATGAAAATTGAAGATTAACAAAAATAAATGAAAATTCAGAAATGATGCAAGCGAAATAAAGAATAAACAGGTAAAGTTTTAAAGGAGCAGAAGTAAATGCAATATTTAAGTGTCGAATCAGGCGGTAGATGGGCGAAGAACGAAGTCCAACAAAAGTGATGAAATCGTCGCTCCGCGCTTCATGGCACAACGACAGCTATCGAAGTAGTTGCTTGACTGTACAGATGGCTTTCTCTAAATCTGAGCTGCGTTATCAATAGAATGTAGTTGAGATACTTCTCTATAGGGTAGCGTCCAGCACGTTTGAAAGGAGTCGGACGCGGTCTGCTTTATCCAGCATGTTTGCATTTTTCATGAAGATGTCGCAATGCCGACAACACCACACTTCAAACGTGAATGTAGCTGAGTGATGTCGGCTTTGGGATCATAAGTAATGTACGCGATGTGCCCTGCGACAATATCAATTTGACATGGGCTGGAACGGATTTGTCTTGATCCAGCAAGAGCACAGCTTCCGATAATCCGATGATCATCTTCCATCCCACTCAATGTGATCATTGCGACCAATATCAAAGTTTTTCGTTACATCAGCTGATGATGAGGTTGGTTGATCTCTCGGCTTTGTTGAAGTATACGGCAGGTGGCAAACTAGATATTTTGGTGATTGGTCAGAGTTCAAAAGGTGAAGCTTCACAATATTTTCGGAGTACCGAGTTCAAGCCGTGTTATGGAAGTGATGATCTAGTATAGGGCAGGAAGAGCGAAGGAAACGGAAAAATCGGAACATTCACAAAATAATAAGTTTTGAAAATAAGGGGTTTGGACCAGACAGTGACGACAATTATGCAGTGGAGGGGAACATTTAGACGAAACGTCTAATGCCTGCCATTGCGTAGAGCTGTCAACAGTAAGTCAAAAATGCCGTTTGCTGTCGCCATGGAGCGGGACAGTACGCCATACTTTATATTCTGCTGCTCCTATTTCGCTACTTTTTGTACATCCATAAATCAAAAAATGAAATAAAAGATAACAATTTAGGGTCCATAGGTGTTTTTCTGGTATTTGATAAGAACGATTTAAAGGCTCGGTATTGAAGAAAAATTTAACAAAAAAAACGAGATTCATTCCTACACTAAAGTTCGAAATCCCCCAGCATTCAATAAGAAAACATAAATGACAACAAGTAGCCCATTATTTTTATTTAATGAGTGCAATAAACTAGAAATACTATAGCTGTAGCACAAAAGAGCACCAGGGAGTACCAGAACAAGAATTAATCATCCATTCACCCCCTGGCGACCAGCTGATTGGTTTAATATGTGCAACCCGGTTTGAATGGTGCAGCCTCTACAACGTATAAAAAACTCGCCCACATCCGGGTAAGTTTACGTTGGCCAAGTCGGCTTGGGGCACAGGTCTACGAAAAAATCAAACACAGACTTTGGAATCGGTTCTGGTCCTTTTATCTAAGGCATGATGAACAGAGATGATCAATGAATGAACCACAGCATCAGTTCCCTGCGATAGGGAAAAAAGTAACCTACAAATACAAGGGGTAGGGGGGAGGGGGAAGGGAGACCCAACAGTCTCGCATACCGTAAACGGCACGAGCACCAGACAAGTCTTCGATAGTGAGCCCGTGACATTGGACAGTGAATGTCGTGTTCTATGACCCTAAACCACCCCTCCTAGCCGATCGATAAGGCGCCAATTTCAAATCGGGCCTCTACATAAATCCTGTGTTCCGTCCATACATCAGCTCTTCTTTGATTTTCTTAGGCCCTCGGCCGATGTGGCCAGCACTTGCCACTCGAGTATAATATTCCGCGCATTCAAATCTTACAGGGGACGGAACATTACCCATTTCTAGATGGATGCGGCAAACCGCGCGACGAAATTCGTGGTGATTCAAACGACTCTGGCGCCTATCATTGGGGCACAAATTTGAAGTAGAGAAGATCATTAGTATCAGCTGACCCTACCAATCTACTCTACTTTAAGTTTGTGCCCCATTGATAGGTACTAAAAGTCGTTCAAGTCGCAACGAATTTCGCCGCGCAATTTGCCGTGTCCATCCAGAATTGGTAGAATGTGTCCGTACCCAACTCTTACACAACGGTCGTCTGTGGTCGCCAAGCATAAGAGCAATTTCACTCGTTGCACATAGCCGCACTCATTCAAACGTAGTTAACCGATATACACATGGGCAGGCGTGTGGCCGCAATGGCCTCTTTTCCTAGATAAGCCCTGCTAAACATTATCGGTATCATTTTCAGCTTCACATTACCGTCTGCAACCAATCGTACCCTGTATCGCCTCATTGCTCTATTCATATCACATATTATTTATGGACTAGTGCTTGTTGTAGCAGGTAGGCTGAATTTCAGGCATAGGATTTTTCGATAGCACAAGATAGGAATCCTCTAGGCAATTTGTTCAAAAATATGTTCAACAGTGATGAAATGCGAGATACAGTCATGAAGAATCTTGCGCATTTAATTCGCTTCGCCACGAGAGACGACAACTACATGAAGGTACTACGCTCAACGTCTAGAAATTACTACGACAGCTTCAATAAGCAGTTGATGGTATAGCTGACTACTGGCTGACTTGCTGCGCCAAATCTTATTGTGATTTGCTAGTGTTCCTCACGCGACCCACTAAGAATACAAAACACTTCGACTGAGTGAAGTTTAGTGGCTTCTAACGAGACCAGTTGGCCTGCGCACGACACCGTGAGCGTCTCGTGGCTTCTGATAAATGAATTCCCCTCAAGATAACCTGGAGCTTAATCGTCTTAGTAACACAGTAAGCACGCGCCTCCGAGAAGATGGAGAGTACCGTTCTCCCTTCCCAACTAATAGCGTCACGAGCCGTCTATCGAGAGCGCGAATTTTTAGCAAACTGCATTTGGCAACCATTTACATTCGTTTATCTATATATTAACCAAGACAATCCAAAAAATCAAGAAAAGGCCTCGAATCATTTACTTTCTTGTTTACCCCTTACCATTGTGGAACACCTGGGCCTCAATAGAGATGAAATGGGAATTCATTTGCACTTCGAT